ACTCTGGAAAACCACAAGATGGCAATGTTACTTCTTAAAAATGAAAGTACAGTGGGGCCTTGACTTACGAGTGTGCCCGACTAACAAGTTTTTGGAGATACAAGCCATCTCTCAGCCGATTTTTTGCTTTGAGTTGCAAGCTAAAATTCGGGTTATGAGCCAGCTTCAGATACCCCACCGCTAGTTGGCACAGCGAACGTCACAGCGAACGCCACAACATCAGCCTAGCATCACGAGTCTCATTCGTTCACTTTTGATTTGATATACGAGTAATTTGAGTTACGAGCTCCGTCACAAAACAAATTAAACTCGTAAGTCAAGGCCCCACTATATTATAATATAATTATCTCATAGGGATTATAAGAAACTCTAAAGACTAAATGGTATTAAAGCTCTGGGCTTTTTGACTTAAAATTTTCTCTTTGTATAGTGCCATTGGAGAGGTAAGCAGATATTCTTATGTAAGGCTAATTGTGTATGTAGTAGATGTACCGATGTTTTAAAAAAATTTCTGTGGCGCCTTGACTCCTTCTTTAAGATTGATTCCAACATTGCAGGACCAACCAGTTCAGCAGATAAGAAGGGACAACAGGCCCTAACCGGTTTGGCTCAGTGGATAGAGCGTCAGTCTGCGGACTGAAAGGTCCCAGGTTTGATTCCGTTCAAGGGCATGTACCTTGGTTTCGGGCACATTCCCAGTAGGAGGTGTGCAGGAGGCAGCTGATCGATGTTTCTCTCTCATTGATGTTTCTACCTTTCTATCCCTTTCCCTTCCTCTCTGTAAAAAATCAATAATATACATATATTTTTTAAAAGAGACAACAGAATCCTGGCTGAGATTTTTCTGACTGTTGCTACTGCCTTTGTTCTCCTCAGGACCCCGCAGTTTCTAACACAGCTCACTGTCTTCACTGTGATCTGTGATCTCACCCCTATGCCCATCCACACGAGAAATGGCTTATCTAACCCTGGGTTGTATTTCCCTTTATTCAGAGTTCCCACGTACTGGAGAGGACTGCTTCCTCCGGCACCGAGCCCTCCATAAGTCGGCAATTACTGGAACCGGAGCCAGTCCCCATCTCCAAGGTCAGTGATGGACTGTGGTGCTCTCTCAGATGGCCTGCTGCCTGCCCTGGGCCAGCTGCACTGTAAATCACTCACACCTGACTCCCCTGGGGTAGCTGAGGCGCCCCCTGCAGGGCTACTCTTGCACTTCTTTCTGCATGCAGTGTGTAGGGTTTCTTTGCCGGCGTGTGGAGGGAAGACATGAAAGTATATTTTGCTGGGATTTTCAGGATTACATATAAAAGTCCAGCATTCTCTATGTTTTGGGTAAAGGACAAGAGAAACTATTGGTATTCCCCATTGGAGAGATGAGAACAGATTTCTGTACCAAACTAATAGAAAAAAAATAACTGGGTCCAGTAATAATCTACCATATTGCCCATGTACTGCCTACCAGGAAATGTACTAAATGCTGAAATATATTATCCCACGTAATAGAACCCTATGAACAGCCTTATGCAGTGTAGGTGTTTATCACATTTTTTAAATATGGAAACTGAGAATTTGTCACTTGCTCAAAGACAAAAAAAAAAGCTGCTAAGGGCAGAGCAGGGATTCAGACTTAGTCTTCATTAAGGCTACTAGTGGCAAACTCGTAGCCACCCAGCAGGGCTGTTGTACACTCCGAGTCCCCGGCTCCTTACATCTGGCCTTCCTGGCAGTGAGCTGAGGAGAACCTGCAGATTATTAAGACCTTTTCCGTCTCATGGAAGCCAGTGTTCCCCCCCCTTCAGCTTCTCTTCCTATGACTAGCTAAATATCTGAATGCATTTTTGTCTAAAATGCAAAAATCGTAAAGTTGAGGAGACGTCATCCCACTCATCCGCAGCCCACCCGGCTCCCTGAGATTTTCAGTGGGCTGGCTCCCCTGTCAAGAAACCCAGAAAACAGGATGCCGGGGGCTTTTGAAATCAAATATAAAAATAGCGCTTGACTTCCAAAGCATTTCAACTTCCAAATATATATAACTGATCCATCCGCTTCCTTGTCCTTTATTAAATAGAATCCTTGAAGAAAGAACACTCTACTACCCTAGTGTTGTGGACTGTGTACACTGTATCTCTTTATATTTTGAAGCTATTACAAGCTGAGACGTTTATTCAATCAGACAAAAGTAGATTGCTAAACTAAGGAAAGGGGGAGTTATTAAACCACAAAAAATTTAAAAAGATATGATTTCTATTCGAATGGCAAATAGAGAATGTTTACTCGGTAAATACAAGGTGTAATCTCTTTGAAACATCAGTGTTTTCTTATAGGCAGCTAAAGGAGAGAGAACAGATAAATAAGTAAATGCAGAGGCAATGGGAAGGGCAGCTAACATTTATTAAGCACCCACCTTGAGCCAGGCCCTGGATTAGTACATATATTTCCTCCCTTGGTCAGTGATACTCAGAGATACTCAGAGAAAGGAAGACTTGGAGACATATACAGAAACAGGAAGGAGAAGTGCTGGTGTTAAAACACCTAGGGAGCAGCAGGCACACAAGACGAACTCTGGCCCTGCCCCTCCCGCCAGCTGCATCTGTAGCCTCTTCGGCATCTCACTTTATAGTCCAGCTACCTCCACCTGCACACAGTTCCCCACAGTAGCCAGACTCTTTCCTCCCCAGGGGTGGGTCTACCCCTTGTACCCAGCCTGCCTGGGGTGCTCCCTGCTCCCCTCCCCTTCCTTGACCTGGTTAAAGAAACTCTGAAAACAGAATGCTTTTTTCAAATGCTGATCACCTTTCTACCCAACCACCCTCAGCCCCAGACCACCTGGCGTAGCCAGTCCCATCACTACCGCATTCATTTGTTTCACATTCTTTCTTAAGTCAGGTTCCCGAGAGGGACATCCCGACACTGGGTGCTTGTACTTTGCTGGGGAGAGCCCTCTGGGGGGAGGGGTGGGGGAGGGGCAGGGCAGGTGTGGAGCTAAGCAGGAAGGGCTTTGAGCTGGAGTCGCGAGCTCCAGGCCATGAGTGGAGCACAGAGTTGGTTTCACCCTGAGGCAAGGAGGACTTTTTGTTTCCTCAGCCCTTTGTACCTTGGTTCCTTCAGTCCTTGAGAGCCAAGGGGGAGAGATGCTGCAGCATAATTTCGTAGGCCCGAGGCCCCAGGCCCCAGTTCGGTGAAAACAGCTCTTCCCCCTTAGCCTTAGCCTTAGCAGTTCGCAGTGCTCACAGCAGCTGGGGCCTGGGTCCACGGGCCTGATTCAGGATCTAGGCTGGGCACCAGCAGCATCCACTTCCCATTACTCCTCCATGCTATTGTCCGCTTGGCTCTTGCTGTTGGATTAATACTCGTGTTTTTGTGTTAATAGATACCATATCTTTGGGGGCCCCATGAAATCAGAGGGTCCAGATAACATCTCTCAGCCCCTTTGAGAGAAGATGGGCTTCTTGGGCTCTGATGGTGGTGGAAGAACATTGTTTGAAGTACACATTGTCCTGTCTCAGGATGTGTTCAAATTCTTTGGTACTTTCGCCTCCTAAAGCATTCTCTCACCCACCCACCCACACATGCATGCACAAAGCGTATGCCCTTAAGAAAAGAAATGTCTCTGATTGTGTTTTTGGTTTTTTTCCCCCCAAATGAACAGACTAGGGCTGTTATTAGGTTACTTCCTGTGTTTAGTTACTATTATTAGATAAAAAATATTACTAAAACCTCTATAATAGCAAAAATGTTTATGTATATGACTAGAGTCAAGTACTGACATGATCACATTAGGGCTTTGGGCTCTGTTCCTATTATAAGTAAACCTATGAAAATTGAAGACTTTTAATATCAATTGAAATTGTGGGGGGAAAAAAGTCTTCAATTTTCAAAGAGTAATTTTAGCTTTCTTAAGATCGACCTAGTCTACTAAGCAGAGATGGGTGGTGGTAAATACTGAGCTGGGATGTTTCATTTATTACACACGTTGTTTATATCATTATCATCAGCATTTCTAATTAAATAGGGAGAATGTTGTTCGCGCTGGCTTTATCTTTGCCTCTCTGTCAGATTGACAGTTTATTTAACTGTAGGAACTACACTAGGATTCTTCTCAATTACTTTTGCTGGGTTTAGTTATTCTGCATCAGAGTGAATGGAATTATTTGTTCAGAGCTGCCTCATTTATAATGAAGAAATGCATTTTAACTTTTCATCTGTTCTTTCTTACCCCTTTTTGTTTCCTCTTCAGTTAAACTCCCAAAGGAGAAAAAAATGAGTGTGTTAGAAATCAATAGCCATAGCCCCATAGGGACAAGCTGTTATTACATTCTGGGTTTCATTAGGACAAAAATTAAAACCATCTATACTTATTAAATGTTTCCATTTTCACGAGTAATTCAGAGTGTTCATCATACACTCCCACACACACTCAGGGAATAAATCAAAGATGAACACTAGCCTTAAAATAAGGTAAGATCTAGCCAATAATAGCAGTGCTATTCTTTTAGAGATTCTATCCATGGATGGCGCTACCAAAAATAAAAATGTCATTAAGCACAGTTGATATCTCTCTAAGAACAGAAAGAGTGCTAATGGATATATTCATTTCGTGAGTATACCAAACTTTAAAAAAGAAATCAGTAGAAATCCATCATTTTTATGAAATCAAAATCCATCATTTTTATCTACTTTTTTAGTAAGAATAGAAAGCCAAAAATACTGTGCTTTGTATAAGAACCTACTGTCTTCTTCTGTTATTCTAACACTAGAGGCCCGATGCATGAAATTCGTGCAAGGGGCTCGGCCCTCGCAGCCCCAGCTTCGTCCTGAAAGTTGTCCAGAAGGACGTCCAGTCTAATTAGCATATTACGCTTTTATTATTGTAGATTACTCGTAAACTGTATTCTCCTGTTGAATTGCAGTTCACTATTAAAAAATGAGAATGCAAAGGACCCCCTTTGTTTTCTGGATGACAAGAAACATCGTATACAGCCTGAAATTCTCATTTGCAACCTTTTTAAAATTACTTTGTCTAATTAACAACTTTGACCAGATCTATCCCAGTTTCTGACAGTATTATCTTCAAGTAGCAAATCACTTTTTGGGGGTTTCTTACAGGTCTTTTTTCTTAAAAAACAAACACATTTTAGTGATGCATAATTTTACAGATCCTTTAAAGGGTCCTTAATGTTGCCAAATAAAAACTGGTGGGTGTGCTTCTGTAAGGTCTGTAGTTCATTCACTAGACAGCCCTCAGGTGACAAAGAAGATGAAAACTGACATTAGTTTTCCTGGGGTTTTGTGGGAATGTGTGTGTTGTAGGGTTGGGCTTAAAGAGGATAGAAGCACGATGCTGGTATTAGAGGGCTTTTCAGAAGGCGGGAATATCTCCTAGCCTTCATGATGTTAGAATGAAGCAATGTTCAGTGACATGTCCTGGAAACATCACTTTCTGTGAAAAGTCCACCCCATTCACATATATTTGGATTTGAACATAGATTTGATGTGGCCATAGAGCAAGCAGTTTCTGGAATGAAAGGAGAACAAAAGAAAAAGAGACGTGGGTAGTAAACAGGCAGCCCTTTCCCTTCCTGTCCCCATGGCCGATATTAGTAACTGATTGTGGCACCATAGCCTCTGGGCCTTGTCAGCGCCTCACAGTCCTTTAGCGGGTCTGGGCAGCCACCACCCAGACATTTGTGCCAGTAAGTTTATGTGCCCTGGATTGGGGCCATTGGCTATTCCTGTTGAAGCCTTTGTTCTGGGATCTGCGGAAGACTCCTGATGGAATGTATCTTTTCGGAAGGCACCTTCCTGAGTCGTTCTGGGATGGGGCGCTCTGAGAGGGGTTGCCCTGGTACCTGGAGCTGCATCCAGCTTTGTGACGCTGGGGGTTTTTGCTTCCCTGCACTGTGGGCAGGACTGTAGCAGTTGTGCATGGGATGTGACCTTGTAGTTCCTGCCCCTAAGTTATACCACATTTGAATTTATTGATGGTAGCCATTCTGACAGGTGTGAGATAATATCTCATTGTGAGGATGTGGAGAAAGGGGAACCCTCATGCACTGTTTGTGGAATTGCAGACTGGTGCAGCCACAATGGAAAACAGTATGGAGGGCTCTCAAGAAATTAAAAATGGAGCTACCTTATGACCCAGTGATTCCACTTCTGGTATATATCTGAAGAAACCCAAAACACTAATTCAAAAGAATATACCCACCCCTGTGTTCATTGCAGCGTTATTGACAATAGCCAAGATATGGAAGCAGCCCAAGTCAATAGACAAGTGGGTAACAGTGGTGGTACATATATACTCAGCCATAAGAAGGGATAAAATCTTACCATTTGTGACATCATGGATGAACCTAGAAGATATTATACTAAATCAATAAGTCAGACAGAAAAAGACATATACCATATGGTTTCACTTATATGTGGAATCTAAAGAACAAAATAAATGACCAAACAAAATTGAAACAGACTCCTGAACAAAGAAAACAGACTGATGGTTGCCAGAGGGGCTGGGGGTTAGGAGGCTGAGTGAAAAAGGCAAAAGGATTAAGAGGTACAAATCGGCAGTTACAAAATAGTCGCTTGGATGTAAAGTACAGCAGAGAGAATATAGTCAATAAGTTGTAATAACTGTAATGGTGCCAGGTGGGTGTGGGAAATATTGGGGGAACATTTTGTAAAGTATATGATTGTCTAACCACTATGCTGTACACCTGAAACTAATACAAAATCATATTGAATGTCAAAAAAAGGAAAAATATCTTTTTGGAAATGTGCTACACATGATTACTTTGATGCTATAATTTTATCAAGATTATCAAATAAACTAGAACTATTTTTTATTTACAAAATATAAGTAACATTGCTGAATGTTTGGTGAAAAAAAAAAATCATGCCACCTGCATGAGATCTTGAATATGAGCGTTTGCCAGGCCAGCAGGTACTTTAGTGCTGGGCCCTCAGAAATCACCTGGTCTGACCCATCCGGTGTGGCTCAGTGGGTAAGTGTCAACCTATGAACCAGGAGGTCATGGTTCGATTCCCGATCGGGTCATAAGCCCGGGCTCGATCCCCAGTAGGGAAGGTGCAGGAGGCAGCTGTTCAATGATTCTCTCTCATCATTGATTTTTCTATCTCTCCCTCTCCTTTCCTCTCTGAAATCAATTTTTAAAAAATTTGTTTTTAAGAAATCACCTGGTCCAGAGATTTTAAAACCCAGGATGTTGCTAAGGGCCAGTCAGCGGCCATGGAAGCAGGCCCCCAGGGGGGTGTGGGGGGACCTGGGACAGCCTAAGAATGGGCATCCTTCTCTCAGGCCATGCACACTGTTGCCAGATCTTACAGGCTTTCACAAAACACCAGAAATTTGGACTTTTGAAAGCTGAAATCTTCTGATTTTCAAGTGTTGACAACTCATTAAAAAATTATAAAAACCATAGATGAACAAAATATGTCTTATGGCAGAGGAAACTGTGATTTAGTTCCTTTTTACCAGAGGAGGATGCTTGTGTGGACTTGAGCATCCCAGAGACCTGGGCTCGCAGTGTGGTGCTTTTTCCAAGAACGCTCAAGGGTGTGTGTGTCTCAGGATGCGTGCCTTCGAAAAGCATGGACCTCTTGGTGTGTTTGGTGAGAAGGAGGTTTTATT